GGGTGGCGAACCAGGGGGGGAGGTCGCCACTCCTCAGAATTAGTTAGACGAAGTTTGGACACCTGAGTTATTAAAAAAAAAATGAAGATTAAATGAGTAAACTTCTAAATTATCTTTTATTTTTTAATATTTAATCTTTCTTACCAAAACATGAGTAGCAAACCAACGATGATTTGAAACGAAGATTATATGCCCTTAAATGAAGACATGAAAGATATTTTTAGTATCGCAATCTTGTACGTAAATTTGGTATTCCAAAAAAATAAAAAAGGGCGTGACAATAAAGTAACGGCTGGAGATCTATCAACCTTTTTAAAAAGGGAAATTAACCTGATCACTTTAGCATCTTGAGGTAATATAGGACACGATATCCCGGAGTTCGAAGATTTTAAGTACAAAATTAAGTATATTGCATTTTTGTTGGCATAGGTTGAAATTATCTTCTTCTTTTTCTTATTATTATTATTTGTAAGATTTTCTGTTGATTGTAAACCTTTGGTATTCAAGGACCTTTTGCATTAACAAAATTAATCTGCATCAACGAAATTAAGTCTTGAAGTCCATTTCCATTTCCATTTTCATTTTCATTTTCATGTATCTTGTAATACTCTATATTAGGCACAGAAGCGTGTTTGTCAAAAATAATACTGGAATCGAACAACCATAAAAGTACAGAAATTGTTCACTAGTTTCGGACAAACCTACAACACTAGAGCTTTACAATATATGGATGCTCTTCTGCATAGAACACCAGAAATTGTCTCAAGAATGTGCAAATGTTCTCTCGCATCTCACAAATAAGGAGAATCAGAGAACACAACCCTCAATTCGCTCTCACATTACAGATTTTGACTCAACCTTAAGGATCAACACATGACCACTCTAATCTATACACAAGATCACAAAAAACTAGAGTTCAAAATCAGGCAAAGGAGAGCATTTGCCTCTCTACCCAAAGCCTAATTAGAGAGAGAGACGAAAACCAAGAGACACAAATGCAGCCCAAAATGTATTCGAAAAGTCTAGAACCCAAGTGTCGGTTCTAAACAGTCAAAATGGATGCCCAAGATTAATCCTAGCAGAAGAATCCCAAAGCATAAAATAGCAACACACGTTAGGGAATAATCCTGTGTCAAATGTCAACCAACAACATTCTACACCTTGACACATTAATTCTGTTCGCGAACGAGTAAATCATCCTATTGTATCATTACACATGTGCATGCAATTGAAAACACGAAGTCTGCTATTATCAATGTTTAATATAGATAAGCAGCATTTAAATTTACAAGGTATCATTTTTGAACCGGTAGGATTGAACTGGAAAGGAATTTTCTCAAACTTTATCAAACCTTTAGATACAATATCTATTATAAAATATAATTTTACATCAACATGCTTTGTGTGTTTATGAAACACAAGAATTTTAGACAAACGAATAACAGATTGACTGTCAGAATATATAATTACATCATCATGTAAAAAATCTAATTTATTTAACCAAATCTTTAACCACAAAGCTTCCTTGATGGCTTCTGTAGTATCAATGTATTCAAATTCTATTTTGCACCGTGCCAGGGGCGGACCCAAGGTGTGCCATAGGGTCACTTGACCCTCCAATTTTTTTAATATTTTTTTTTGGCTCACTATGGAATATCAAATGAAGTTGAAATATTACATTCTTAATATCATTTTGAAGTACACGCGACTTAGTATTTCACGTCATTAATGGTGTGCAAAATGGTCAATCGTAGGAAATGTTACAACGAGTCGAAGTAGACCGTTTCAAACTAATATTTCGAGAATTTCGATAACAAACTAACTTTAAAAAAATTTCGACGATTATACGCTAGCCGTATCCCTAAATCTTCTATATCCTCTCGAAACTCATTTTGAAAACTGTATCATAAACATATCGAATGATATAAATGAATATTGAAAATAATTAAAAGTACGTCAAACTTGTATGCTAAAAAGAGACGTATAACTCGTCTTTTTTGAAAAAAAATCAATTATTTTATTAATGTTCATTATTTTTGCGCGACAAATTTATCAATATAATTTACGTCATTTTATTAGAAAATTTTACATGTGGTATGACATCAATTTTTTTTTTGACGTAAAAATTCTTAATAAAATTTTTATACTTCATATGGGTTATAAATTGTTATACTACTTTTTCATCTTAATTATTTTTATATCTAAAAAAAATTATATATAAAAAAAATTCAATAGTTTTTAGGATTTTTTTTTTATTGTTACAATTTCCTCTCAATCAATTAAATTTTTTTCAAATGATGTCAAAAATTTTATTGTGAAATTTATTAGATTATTTAAAAATAATAATTGATTGAGAGGAAAAAGTAACAATAACAAAAAAAATCCTAAAAATGATTGATTTATATATATATAATTTTTTTAGATGAAAAAGTAGTATAACAGTTTATAACCCATATAAAGTAATAAAAAAAATTTCGTCACTTTTTTTAAAAATTTGATTGCGATCCCCTATTGTAAAATGTCTGCGTCCGCCCCTGTACCTTGCCACAATATGCTACATCTGCAATTTTCAGCTCATACAACCATAACAGATATTAAAAACAAATGAAGTAACAGATTTCCTATTGTTCTTGTCACTAGCATAATCAGCATCAATATATCCTTTTAATGTTATTCCTTCACTAATATGTTAGAAAGTTATTCACAAGTTTTGGGATTTTTTTAATTATCTTAAAGCCCATTTTAATGCTTCCTAGTGTGTCTTTCCTTAAGCTCCTATAGACTGAGTTAGGTCCGGTCTGGTACAAACCATAGTGTACTGCATTGGCATATGAAACTTTTTCTATATATTTAAAATCTTCATCAACTTTAGAGCAGTCCTCTTTACTTAAAATAAAGTAATTTGCAAGAGGTGTGCGACAAACTTAACATCCATCATAGCAAAATCTTAAGCACTTTCAAAATATAAGCAATTTGGACCAATCTTAATTTAAATTTAGGTATGTCTCTTATTATTTTCATAGCTAGAATCCTTTTAGTATTTTCCAAGTCCTTCATGTCAAATTCAGATAATAAGGCACCTTTTATTTTTATCAATTGATTTCTTCCATAGCCTTATTCCATTCTTTTCCATTTTTACTCTATGGATTTTTCATAAGCTCTAAGTTCATTTTCACTTAAGTCTTAAAAATTTAAGGGGGCATATGAAATATAATATGAAAATCCTAACCTATTAATACTCCTAATGGCTCTTCTGTCTATATCTCTAGTCAACTAATAATCCCTTAGAGTTTCTTGACCTCTAAGAGGTTCGGTTTGTTCTTAGTTTATATTTTCGGTGATTTGTTCTTCAATTATCTCATATTCCTCTTGTTCTAAAGGAACTTGAGGATTTTTAGGCTCCTCCTCAAATAGATCATTATCGATTTCATTTCCTTTGTCAAGTACTTGCAATCAAATTGGGGTGTAACCTCCTCAGGTTTTTCAGAATGTTTACTTTCTATTTCTAGACATGGCATTTCATCCTCACTGAAAGCAACATCACCATTGCTCCCAATTTAACTCCACCTTGACCCCTAGTCCACAGCCTATGACCCATAGTACCTAGAGGATAGCCTAAAAATACACATTTCTAAGCCTTGGCTCAAGTTTCCCTATGTTTTGATGAAAATAGGTTGCACACCAAAAGGTTCTTAAATATGAATAGTCTGCAGGTCTTTTATTCTACATTTCGAAAGGAGTTTTATCATTTAAAGCGGTAATAGGAGTCAAGTTATTTAACTAACTTGCAGTCATAATAGCTTAACCCCAGCAAGGTTTAGGAAGACTAGAGCCTATCATCATGTACCTAATTTTATCTAATAAAGTCCCATTCGTTCTTTCAAAAACTCTATTTTGTTGAAGAGTATATGGAATAGACTATACCTTAGAATACCATTTGATTTACAAAAGTTGTCAAACTCGGTATTGCAAAATTCAATGCCATTGTCTGTCTTGAGGGTGGTCTTTACTCTCTTTCCAATTTGATTTTCAATCAAAATTTTCCATTGTCTAAATTTTTGAAAAGTTTCAGATTTGTATTTTAAGAGAAACACCCAACACTTTTCTTAAAAATCATCTACTAGAGAGAGAGAGAAAGCATTTATTTCCCTCATGAGTAGGTGTATTAGAAGGTCCCCATGAATCTGAATATATGTAATATAATATGTTAACGGATTTATGCACTACGGTTTTAAATTGCAGCCTATGATGTTTTTCTAAAATGCAGTTTTCACAAAATTGTAATTTTGAAATAGTGTCTTTAGGAAAAGCAGCCTTTTGATTCAAAATCTGCATTCCTTTATTGCTTATGTGAGCTAATCTGGAATGCCAAATGTCTGTGTTATCCTTCACAGGATTAGAAGAGATGGCAGAATTGGAAGTTTCAAAAACTTCCAACTTTTTGTCACATAAATGCCATTTTGCTTAATTCCTTTAATTGCCACTAAGGATCCTCTAATTATTTTAAGCATTCTACTTTCAAATTTAGCACAAAAACAAGCACCATCAAGTGCAACAATAGAATTATATCATACTATTATCGAATCGTTTTTGTAAAATAATATCCTATTGTTATTTTCGCAATTTATTTTCAAATAGCACTATGTTTTAACTTGGTGGCAGATATTGTAATGGCTAGATAGATCCAATGTTGCCATCAGAATTTAACTTCAATAAAACTTATGTTTAATCTTACACACCACACAAACAAATCTTGGGTTTTCTGAATCAAATACGAGGGAATTAATATAAATATTTAACTCGGAATTTTTATTTAATGAGTTGCATTATATTATATTAAAGAAAACTAAATGAATAATGAATATAAATTTTATTTATTATATTACATTTTATAGAACTCTACCAGTTCAAGTGCAATTCAGGAGATTTTCGGATGGATTGATCAATCCAGTGAGAGATTAAGGCTACAAATTTACAATTAAACAAAGCCCACTATTTTCTCAGAAGGGATTTACACTTCGGGTTAATCCACCATTAACATTTGTGAAAATTCCCATTAACTCCCTCCTATAAGGTAAATAAGATTTTTGCCTATCATTCATCTTCGCCTTATTTTTCAAATACACCTCGTGAGCCGACAACGGAGTCGTTTTACTCTTCTTTGCCTTCCCATTCCCGTTGACCTTCTTCGTTGGCTCTTTTCTCTCACCACCACTAGCCGCTGCCGGCTCCGCTGTGGACGGCGACGTTTGACTATTATTCAAGAAAACAAAGGCGTCTCTTCCATCACTATTACATCTCGCTGTAAATTCTTTGAGCCGCCAAATCTTAGAAAATCCAGTTGAGTTGCTCTTCTTGCACACCTCCGGCGACGCTTCCACCACCTTCCTCGTCGTCAACTCACAGTAAGGTCCGGCAATGTCTTCATTCTCCGACGAAGCTGACGCTACCCCATCATTTCTTTCAACAAAAACCTTCTTTATCGGCGGCAAATTTTCGCGCAAAAGCTTTTCATCCTCGTGCGAAAAAAACAAATCCCGGTTGAATAATGGAAAAACCGGCTTAATCTGACCATTAACAAATGCATCTTCTGCTGTTATTTGAGAATCATTTTCCACTTCACATACAAAAGAAAATTCCTCTTCCTCCTCTTCATCTTCTTCACCTTCAGAATCATTACCGAGTTTCAACTGAGTATAAAAATCTTCGCTTATTTTCATTGCAGCTTCTGAGTATAGCAATTCTTGATCTGGGTTTGGCTGTTCTTCCATACCTGCTGGCATATATGAAAAGTTTGGTATATCTCTTTGCTGGGTTTTCCCTTTTTTCTTGATTGAATTGTGAAGAACTG